ATGACAGGTTGGTATTCTGCCATCTTTTATTTATTATTCTGGAAGCAAAGCAGAAAGTTTGATACAAAGTGTCAGACTACTCAGAGCTAAAACTCTGATGTAACATTAATCTGTCTTTTGAAATGGTTTCATCTGTGGGTGGAAGCTGAATTAAATGGGCCACATTGTTTTATCCACTTTCTGGACAGATTTACTCCTTAGTTAGCAGTTGTTTAATCTCCAAATTGCTCATCATATTGTCAAGAATATTACAGACCTGACAGATCTCGACATGAATTCAAAAGCAGTCGTACACAAGGTGCAAGTATGTGTGGAGCAAAAGGAAAACTTAAATAACCTACGATTGCAACAAAAGAGGTGATGAAATATTAAAAAGAATTCAAGATTTGATCTTTTTTAAATTAGGCAGTTTCTGTTTGGGATGGGGGCTGACTAACAAATGAGAGCTTGCTTGTTATTCAACTCTTTCTTTGTTTTGTTGTCCAATTTCAATAAATGGTGTTTAATGAGAACATTCCTATGACACATCTATGCCTCCTTGGTAACGTTTCTCTGAGTGGACCGAGGCACCCAGGATTAAAGAACCTTATTACAGTTGAGAAAAAAAGAGGGCTGTTGTTTGAAAATGTATTCAGTAACTGTGCAAAGTAAAAAGTTTGAATTTTGTTGCAATGTTTTCTAGTAATAGACAAATCAACTATCAAACATATGTTCAATTTAATAACAACGTATAGAATAGACTTGTTGGGATACTGGGACAAAATTCAACCCTAAACACCAGCCTTTCATGTTCTATCAGCATACTGTCTTTAGCCTTGATTTATTGGAAGGTTGATAAGAAACGCTTTGTGTACTTCCTTAACATTAAAATCACTGTTCAACCAACTCAAACTATAAAAGCTTCTTCGTGCGGAAGAAGTCTATAAGTCCGATAAGAATGACAATTTCAAAGAAATATTTCCATAATATCAAAACAGATATGAAATAAGCACATGAAACCTTGACAATAAAAATTAGAATATAGAAAAGTGTACTCGAGAAATTTGTTAACCTGATTTAGACACAACTAACTGATTTAGGATTCCTTTTGTGCCCTTTTAAAACCAGATTCTTTTCTCTTGTGTGGGTCATTCTGTATTGCTTGCAGATGGATAATTTGTTTTAAGAATTTACAACACAGTGGGTAGCCATCTGTTTTTTTTTCTTCTTTTTTCACTTGGCCTTAATCCATCAAAGCTCAGGTTGTCTCAACATGTTAGAAATGTTGCATTCAGTGATCAGCGAGAATATTACATTTACGAGCGTGAAGTCTCACAAATACAGCAACACATTTATGTGCTGTATGGAAGTACTGTGAATTCAACATCAACTGAGCTCACGACTGGCTTTGCTTTTGGCTCATTAATCATCTTATTTGCCTCATTAGTTGCACTGCAATTTGAATCTCAAATTTAGATTTACGGTTTAATGCATACACTGTCTTTTGCGTAGATGGAGTTTTGGATCATTTTCTTTTTTTAACTGAAGCGTTCCTAAAACACAGTGCCCATCTTCATTACTGAACAAATATGGTGTCTTCTTTAGTGTAGATTATGCCCAAATGAGAATTTATACAAGACAGAGTGAAAATCCATTTCACTTTCAAGAAATC